ACACACACACACACACACACACACACACACACACCACATGTACGCACATCATTTGCACTGTTTCCCCCTATATTGAAATAACACAGCCCAAGACGTCCACTTAACTACTTTTTTTTAAAACCTCGACAATTGGTGGCCGTTTTGGAGAAGTTTAACTGTATCGAGAAAGACACATACAAGAGTCGTCGATTCAGATATTCCCGACAAGGGGCCTTAATGGTCTAAAGGTTAAGGTGCTCGCCTCTTATTCAACAGGTCCGGGGTTCGAATCCGGATTGCGACAGAAATTGTCTTCTCTAAAATTGCCTCCTTTCACATCCTCTCCTGCTCTTTAACTAACAATGTTCTGTCGTCTGCTTCCGTCTCCAAATTCTGCCCCCCCCCTTTTGCCCCCTCCTGACTCTTTCTGCACCCTTTCTACTGTTACTCCTTGGCTCCTTAATACTGAAATAGTTGACTTTCAGCCACACTCCTAATCATATGGTAGGAGATGACCAGTTGTGTTGGTGATTGTCTTGGACAGGTGGCTGTTAGAGAAGATTCGACTGTATATCAAATGCACCTTAGAAGAAACTTGAATGGCTGCAGTTTGCAGTTGGTAGAAAGGAGTTGGGTCACTGCTGATTGGCTGGTTGGCTGTGGATGCCCCTGTGTGTATGTTTGACTTTACCACGGTACTGTGCTCAAGACTTCATATTATGTGCAATTAATAAATTTCTATAGATCTATGTGTGTGTTTATATGTGTGTGTTTGTGTGTGTATGTGTGTGTATGTGTGTGTGTGTGTGTGTGTGTATGTGTGTGTGTGTGTGTGTGTGTGTGTGCATGTGCATAATTGTGTGTACGTGGGTGGAAAGGGGGATGTATGGTACATTAGAAAAATGAGGAAGAGTTAATGAATTCAGGCCACTGACTTCATCCAGAAAAGAATCGATTCCACCTGCCTGTCACACGGCAAGTTTTATCAAATACCAATTGCGATTACATAATAGCTTTTGGCGTGGCACGGTAGACTCATGTTTGTTTGTTTTTTGTTCTGTGTTTCTCCTGTGTGTGTATATCTTCCGAGAACTGACGTGGCCTAGCTAGAGAAAATATCCCAGGGGCTCATAAAAGGGGAGATTACTGGAGACCTGCTCCCGCTATTGTTTTGGGGAAACATGGGTCCACAATCAAGAGTTATCTTCCCTTCCCAGCTCCGGAATGTGACCACGTGACCAGGCCAGGGGCCCCCCTACAGTAGCTGGTCTGGGCAATAGCACAAGGAAGGAGATAGCCTCGGAGCCACATGGCCGCCATTGTTCCTTGCAGTCATTGGAGATCTTCAGAAGTAGGAGGAAGATAAAGTCGATAGGGGGCTCGAGGAGAGACAGGGGCTATGTTTATTAATCTGAGACCATTGTGGCTTCTAGAACTTTCTCTCTGGCTGTCTGTCTGTGTGTGTTGCTCGACATTACAGAGATTGGGTGGGGAGGGGGGGGGCTGAGATTTGAAAAAAAGGAAAAAGGGGGGGGGGGCAAGAGAGAAACGGAGTGAGTGAGTCAGGGGGAGAAAGACTGAGAAAGAGAGACAGAAAAACACACACAGAGAGGGAAGAGATAGAGGCAGAAAGGCACAGAGAGAGAGAGAGAGAGAGAGAGAGAGAGAGAGAGAGAGAGAGAGAGAGACAGAGACAGAGACAGAGACAGAGAGACAGAGAGACAGAGAGGGGGGGACGGCATAGATAGAGCTGACAAAAGGAACGGCTGAGGGGGAAGGGGGAGGTAAATCTCTGCGTCTTTTCACATGAACTTTCCGTGGCTAATTGCGCCCTACAGTCAAGATGAGAGAGAGAGAGAGAGGTTGTTGCATAATTTATCAGAGGGCGGGTCTTGTCTGAGAAGTGCACCGTGTGACACTCTGGAGGAACGTTTTCGGGCCTGGGTCGTAACAAACATCTGAGAAGTAAGCAAACAATGAGGAGAAGAAGGGAAAAAATTGCTACTCGGGACAATGCTGGAAGAACCAACAAGAGCGGCAACTGTGAGATCGCCAGCAACCAACCCCCCCCCCCCCCCAAAAAAAAAAAGAACAAAAACAAACAAACAAACAACAAAAAACAAACAAAAACCCAAAATACAAAAAAAAAACTCCAACCAAAATGCAACTAAACAAATCGAAAGCAACCAAAAACAAATTTTAAAAAAAAGGAAATTGTATTGGTTTGACGCCTTCTGCAACACTATAACTATAAGGTTCTTATTAAGATCAGAGGCAGGACCTCTGAATATAACTTCCATACCCGACACGAATGACCCATACAGGGAAGCTAGTGTAAAAGTGCCTTTCCCAGGGACACTACGCTGGACCGAGCAGAGTCTCCAACTCCTCGAACCTGCAAGTTTATGACACAACTACTTAACAAGCCCGGTAGCCTAACTACTCGACTACCAACGTCACGATCGCCAGACTTAATGATGTTGTTGCTGACAAACTTTAAGAGATTTTCCTTTTTACTAAATAATAATTTCAGCAGCGTTGTTTTCTGTATTTCATCTTCAAGAAACTACAATAACGATCACCTGCTCAAGGCAATCACCAACACAAACAACCAACTACTTTCTTGCTTTTGTTTTATATATATATATATATATATATATATATATATATATATATATATATATATATATATATATATATATATATATATATATATATATATATATACACACAATTATTATGTCACTGTCCAAGAGGACCATGGTATTTTCTTCCTGGACAATGGGATAGTTGTCTTGGGCACCCTGGAATTCATCTTTAATTATACCGTTATTCGAGAAGAATTTTGCTCCTGAAAAATTAGCCTGCATGGACACTTTTTAGCGTTCACTATGGATAAACCACAACGACAGCAGCAGGAGAATGTATCCCGACAACAAACTTGAACGAGATACGCCACTAGAATGCGGTCACAAATTTGTAACGCAAATTATTGTTAAATATTGGACCCCCTTCAAATATCTCCTCAAACATCGAACCGAGACGTCCCAACTTTGTATTTTTTTATGTATTGTAAGTATTTTGCGGCGTTCGCAACTGCATAAGCTCATATGAGTGCGCGGGACACACCTAATATTTTCAGTCGGTAAGAAATTTTGAATTTTGTCCGGATGGCGGCCGAAGCCTACTCTTATCGATTTTAGACCCCCAAGGGATCTTTAACGTTCGCAACTTGCATACAGGCCCTCCGAGATTTTTCGCCCTTGTCCGAGAAAGCTAGATTCTAGGTGTAGATC